ACCTGTAAACACTGAGGGTATTCTCACCTCCACCTGTAAACAGTGTGTGTGTTCACACCTCCACCTATAAACAGTGCAGGTGTTCCCACCTCCACCTGTGAACTGTGTGGGTGTTCCCACCTCCACCTGCAAACTGTAGGTGTTCCCACTTCCACCTGTAAACAGTGGTTTGAACTGTGACCTGGATCTCTGGAGGCTGGTACATCGGAAGAAAACTTGGTGAAAAATTTTACTCAAATCTAAAAACCATGCAATGGGAGTGCCTCATTATGATGGAACTCAGACCCAAGTGCATGATGACAGAAATCAGGTGGTGTCAGGCAACTCAGTCTCTGGAGTCCTGAGATCAGGATATGGTCCCTGATTCTGCTACTTACTACATGAATGGCCTTGGACAGCCCACCTTCACCCTGCTCATCTGTAGAAATATGTACATACTGCACACTCTACAAGAGAAGGTTGTTGGGATAACTCTGAAGGCCGTGTTTGTATCTGCTGCATCAAGTGCAGTTGCTTCTGTTACTGTTGTGGTTGTTGTCCCTGTCATAATCTTGATCCATGAGTTTCTGATCCAAGTCTCTATGTTCTAGGCCTAAGATGCATAGGTCAAATTATTCTGTCTAAATCAGTGGCCTTTCCTCCTTCCTGGATTCAGAAGGGCATCACTAGGCTCTTGTGTGTGCTTCAGCAGTTCTAACAGTATGATTGACTTTGCTTCCATCCCTGCCTACACACCTAAGAGCCCCATCCAGTCACCAAAGTGCCAGACTTCTCCCCAGCTCAGCAGTGCCCTTGAAAGACAGTGAAATTTCTCTTCAATTTAATCTTTCCTGCCTGGTAGCCCATGTTCGTAGGGCAAAGGGGTCTGTTGGACAGGTTCATACCTGCTTGCAAGTTTGAAGGGATAAAGTGTTAAGTCATTGCTGCTAAGGCAAACTGTGCCTTATAATCTGAACTGCTTTACAGACAGTATCTCAGACTCTGCAAGGTGGGAGGGTCCTTAGCAATCACCCCCTCTCTCTGCCATTTCTGACACACCTGAAGAGTCCTAAGAAACCAAGTAGGCAAGGCTGGCTCTACACAGTGGGGCACAGGATGAAGGGAGGCCTCTTTCTTCTCAGTTGTGATCCCAGAGTGCATACCTGCTTGTTCCGTGCACGCCACATGTATGGAGAATAACACGTGTGTCTGTGACTTGAATTACGAAGGTGATGGACTCACGTGCACAGGTGAGTCCTCTGTTTTTCCTTGGGAAATAGGAGCAGACACTGGAGAGGAGTGGGGTGTGGTCACACCTGCTGGGCTGCACCCTGGCCCTTCCATCCTGCTCAGGCTCTGCGACAATGCCTGTCCTCTCTAGGACTCTTTGCATCAATGGTTTGCTCACAGTTTCCCTGCCTGCCTCCCAACTGTAAAAATTCACAGTTTTAAATTTTTTAAACTGCTTTGCAAAACAAGATGTGCTTATATTTCATAGTATTTTACAAACTCAACAAGTAATCAGTCTTGCTTGGAAAATTCAGAAGCTGACTACAGCATTAAGATGAGAAAGTGAAGACTGAAGACTGCATATCCTCTGGCCCGGTTACCCTGTCTGTCAGTGAGAGGGAACCCAGAGCCTTTTAAACACTAGGCAAGCACTCTGCCACTGAGTTACAGCCAGCATCAGCAATGCCAGTCCACAAGTGGTTTAGGTGTGTGCTTGGCACACAAAGTCTGAAGTTTAAAGGTGCACAAATGAAGAAAATGTTTTTTCTGTCTTGTACAAGAGTTTGAAGGGAGGCCTTCAGAGTTAGCACAGCTAGGCTGTAGGATGAAAAATGGAAAGAAGGAGGCAAACCTCCATCCCTTTAAGAACACAACCCAAATTGGCAAATGTCAGATCTTCTGCCGTCCTTTCAGCTGGCATTCATCATATGGCATACCTCGCTGGAAGAGAGCTGGGGATGCCACCATCTCATTAGACAAGCCATAACACAGTCCACCTACAACTCTGTTTACAACAGAAGAAGAAGGGGCGTGGTGAGCAGTTTCAGCCACATGTATTTTCTAAAGTTTTCTATGAGCAAGACTCATGAATAATAGATATTGTCAGGCCTGCCCTGTTGTAGCCCAGACCCACCTGCATAGGGATGGTGGCACCCACAGTGGGCTAAGATGGCGCCCTCCCATATTAACCATCCATCAAGACAGTCTCTCACAGGTGTGGCCACAACTCAATCAGATCTGGATTTGCGACTCACTCAAATGATTCTAGGCTGTGTCAACTTAACCAGGACACAGACATGGACAGACAGACACACACACACACGGGAGAGGAGAGAGAGAGAGAGAGAGAGAGAGAGAGAGAGAGAGAGAGAGACAGAGAGAGACAGAGAGAGACAGAGAGAGACAGAGAGAGAGAGAAAGTCCAAAACAGCAAAACCCAATCCATTCTAAAAATTACCAAAGCTGTCCCATGAGTATATGACAAGTCTGTCAGGGTGTCATAAGGACATGAGTCATATGCAAGCTAGTATAGAGCCAACAGATCACGGGGACCTAAGACATGGACATGATGATCATCTTACCCATCCACTGTAAGAGGAACATCAAGCCCTCCACCCTTTCTCTTGCAGTCGTGGACTTCTGCAAACAGAACAACGGGGGCTGTGCAAAGGTCGCCAAGTGCTCCCAGAAGGACACACAAGTCTCTTGCAGATGTCAGAAGGGCTACAAGGGGGATGGCTACAGCTGCACGGAGATAGACCCCTGTGCAGACGGTGTCAACGGTGGATGTCATGAGCACGCCACCTGCAGGATGACTGGCCCAGTGAGTGCCACTCCCCTGAGGACATTTAGGATAGCAGCCTTTTGTGCCCAGTTCAGCCTGGTGTCCTCAGCTTACCTGCCCCCGCTTCCCCTCTGGCCTCTGCTGCACCGTCTTCCCACCTTGGTGTGTTTCTAGTAGAAGTCAGTGTATCCTCGGCAGGAAAGGCTATTACAGTCAGATTCAGTGAAATCCACGTAAGGTCTGCTGTTTAGTTAATAGCTTCTTCGCTTCCACTACAGCTAGATGAGACCCTCATATTAAGGGAAGCTAATAGGCTATAGAGCAGTGGTCCTCAACCGTCCTAACACTGCAACCGTGTAACACAGTTAATCATGCTGTGGGGACCCCCGACCATAAAGCTATGTTCATTGCTACTTCATTACTGCAGTTTTACTGCTGTTACAAATCTGTGTTTTCTGTTGGCTTAGGTGACCCCACTGAGGTGTTAGACCTCCACCAAGGGGTCTCGACCCACAGATTGAGAAACACTACTAAAAATGACACACACTGCTGCTCTTTCCTACTTCCCTATAAATCTATCATGACTCTAGATATAAAGTTCACTAAAACAAAAGAAGTTGGTAACAAATGACATAAACGTGACACCTCTCCCAGTCTTCAGGAATTGAATCAGTGCCCCCATTTGTTGGGAAGAGAGCTGGTGGGACACAGTGCCCCATACCAGTTACAGACAGATTTGCAGCCAGGCAGCCATTGAAACTTAGCTCTGAACATATACAGTATGTAGCTAGAGTTTGACCACTTGGTGTCTCTGAGCCTGTTTCCCCACATAGGGCAAGCCTAGTAACAGAGACATTGTAGTGTTTGTAACATTAAATGAGGACACTCTCTGGTTGAACCAGTGGTCACAAAGCAGCAATTGAGGACTGTAGTGGGTGCCAGGGATGTGCCCCCTGCCAAAATAAAGACAATCCTCACATTCAAGAAGCATAGTCACAGGTGGAGAAAAGGGGACGCTTAGTACAAAAATCAACAGACAGCCCTGGCACCAACTGAGAAAGGCCACGAGCAGAGATCAGGCCCAGGTGTTGGAATGGTGGGTAAGAGTTGCTTCCTGCAGGTTGCTTTGGGTGGGGGCTGTCAGAAAGCAACCCTTATGCTAAGAAGGGCAGCCTTTCACACAAGCCTGCACAAGTGCGAGACAGCCTTTATCCTGCTTGCATGGGGCCCAGCACAATGCCTTTCTGAGCTGCTCCTGTGCCAGATACATGTCCTCTGTACTTGGGATCATGGGGGTTTTCCCGGTCTCCTGCCCTCTTCCCACAGGGCAAGCGTAAGTGTGAATGTAAAAGTCACTATGTCGGGGACGGACAGGACTGTGAACCCGAACAGCTGCCCCTTGACCGCTGCCTACAGGACAACGGACAGTGCCACCCAGATGCTAACTGTGCAGACCTTCACTTCCAGGGTCAGTGAGGCTGGGACCCTGGCCCAAAGCACCCATCTCCCATCTCTTCAGGCTTGTGTGCAAGGGTGAAAAGAAAGATAAAACAAAATGAAACCGGAACTAAAGAACCCACACATGATCCAGACCCAGTGAGGCAGGAGAATCAACTCACAATTGACCTTGAAGACTAGAACTAGCAGGCTCAAAGGACCTTCCCAGAGATTCCCTTTCCCATGATGCCTAACAGGCCTCACAACCATTGGCTGGGATTGAATCTGGAAAGTGCAGATTGGTGTGGGGAATAACAAAGAGGCCGTTGCTCACAGCAGTGATTTCTTAATAGCTCTTAGCTCCTCACACAGTGACTGGCATATACCACAGGCACTTCTGAGGAGGACTGGGAGAAGCGGCTTCCTGGGGTATCCTGGGCTACAGTGGGCCTGTACCTTAGAAGTCCTCCTAAGTCTTTTTCTTCAATCCCTGCCAGTCAAGCAGGCTGACTTCATAAATCTCTCTCCTCTTCTAGACACTACTGTCGGCGTGTTCCACCTACGCTCCCCACTGGGCCAGTACAAGCTGACATTTGACAAAGCCAAAGAGGCCTGTGCCAACGAAGCTGCGTCCATAGCTACCTACAACCAGCTCTCCTATGCTCAGAAGGTGGGTCCCCAACTACACAGATATCTCAGGCAGAGCAAACAGAGAAGGTGTGCAGGCAGCTGCCTCTAAAGCTGGAGGAAATTCCCATGACTGGCCTCTTTGAACCAAGCACAAGAAAGTCCTGAAGCAGTGCTAAGAGTTCATCATATCCCAAGTCAGCCATCTGCCATGTGTAGGGTGTCACGGCAGCATCCTTACCACATCCCTGGAGATGGATGACACTCCTTCAACACATAGGGAAACTGGGGCTCAGAAAGGTTAAATGAAATATCCATCGTCACCCAGAGGTGGCACATCCCGGAGAGTAAAGTGCAGATGTCATGGGGGAGTGCCAGGAAGGCCAACAACCACAGTCTGGGCAGGGCCTCCCTGAAGTCACAAAACAGTCAGCGTTCTGGGGCATTGGTTAAAGGAAGTCCTGGAGTCAGCAGGTTTTTCAGCCCAGCAGAGAGGAAAGGCTCTCTAGTTAGGACGGTTGAGGACCACTGCTTGGAAAAGCCAGCACAAAGAAGCTGCATGCTGCTGGTCCTTCCCAAAGAACAAAAGCTTCTTGCAAGGATCTGGCTCCTGGGGAAGCGGGGGGTGGGGTTGAATCTTGTTCACAGTGATTAGACCCACTGAAACTTGTGTGTGTGTGCGTGCGTGTGTATCCCAGTGTGCGTGTACAGAGCTGATGGCTGATGGTAGTGTGAGGTTCTGAAGGAGCCCAGCATTCTATTACTGAGAGATTTGGAATGCACTGGGTGTGTCTGGATCTTATGGGTGCTTGCTTGATGGCTTTGTGCAACTTACTTTGTCTTGCCTCAGTCATCTTTTTTTAAATAATTTTTTGAGAATTTCAGACATAAGTATCATATTTACATCATTTCCATCCTTCCTCCCTGCCACCACCAACTCTTCCCACGTTCCCAAAACTCCTCAAATTCATGATCTCTTCTTTAGTTATTGTTTTGTGAACACACCCACATATGCGCACACACACAGTTGTACACACACGCACGCGCACACACAGTTGTACACACATGCACGCGCACACACAGTTGTACACACACGCACGTGCACACACAGAGCTGCCATTTAACACTGCTCACATGAGTATTATGAGTTTATATGAACTAACGACATGGGTTTGAGAAACTTACCAGGGAGCTCATCCCTGGAGAAAACTAATTCTCCCTCTCAACAGCCATTAACTGCATGTAGCTCTTCATCTAGGGATGCAGCTTGTGAGATGTCGCGCATTCACGTTGTCATGGCAACCAGTGTCATCATGCAGGTCTTGTTCAGGCAACCATATTGTTGTGAGGTGGTAGGTGCAGGTTCCCTAGCATATACACAGACACTTTTCTCTCGGCTCTTAGAGTCTTTCTGTCCCCTCTTCAGCTAAGCCTTGGGTATATGAGTTGGGTTGTAGATGTATATCGACTGATGCTGGGCACCTCACAGTAACGTGTTTGCAGTTTTTGATCAGTTATCGATCTCTGTAATCGTCTCCATCTGCTGTAAAAAAGAAGTTTCTTTAATGAGGGGTGAGAGCTATGCTTCCCTCTATGATAATGATAAGCATTTAGAATACAGTTAGAAATTACACTAGTGTAAGACAGTGGCTATAGTGGGTTTTCCTCGAATGTCCATGGCTCAGCAGCCACAAGTAGGCTAGGTTCCAGCACAAGTCAGTGAATTTCCTCCTACTGACCAGGCCCTAAGTCCAACTAGACTGCTCTTGGCTTCCTCCAAGATACAAGTACCATCATCGCACCTTTGGAAAATCTTGTCGGGTTAGTTGTTGTGGCTGACCAGATTTTTATCTGGGTAGGACCACTGATTGCTTCTCTCCCTTGGCAGCTTGCATACCACCTTCCCATGCTTGTTCTCAGGAAGGAGGTTTCCAAGCCAGTTCCAGCTTGATTCTCCCAAGTCTTATGTCCAAATAAGTGTCTTCAGCAATAGGCTCTTACCCTCAGGTTCTGGGAGACAAGCAAGAGCAGTCACCAAAACCTGTATTGTTTGGGGGTCTCCTGAACTCTATTGGTTAACAGTGGGACCCCATGCCTGGCACTGGGAGTTGTAGAGGACTGTAGTTCCTGGGCCCAGCAAACATTATCACCTGTACCTCAGTCATCTTAATGATCTGCTAGGGATTTTAAAATTACAGCCACACAGGGGTGAAAGTGATGGTGATAATGATGAATTAGAATTCTGTCATCAATCAGAGTTCTGCTTCATGCATAAGGATTTGCCCCGGGGTAAATGGCTGGTGGTAAATCCCTTCTCAAAAGAGAAGTAAGCATGAAAGGCCTAGGCACCAAGAGCAAGAGGGTACCACGGTCGTTTATCCAACGGCTTGATGGACAGAAATTTAGTGACCTACTATCTTCCAGGTACTAGTGTAGGCCCCATAGAGTGTGCAGTTTGGGTAGGGATCAGAATTAACCAAATGACTCCACAGCAAACAAGACATTATAGTAAACTCCAGCCATTTCCCTGTCTCTGCAGGCCAAGTATCACCTCTGCTCAGCTGGCTGGCTGGAGAATGGGCGGGTTGCCTACCCCACAACCTATGCCTCTAAGAAATGTGGTGCCAATGTTGTTGGGATTATAGACTATGGATCCAGGGCCAACAAGAGTGAAATGTGGGACGTCTTCTGTTACCGGATGAAAGGTCATTGCTCCATCCACTGCAGGCTCTCTGCCTGGACAGCCAATCCCCAAGAGTGAGCAGAGTGGCCAAATCCTCACCTTACTGGGCGTGGCCCCTGTGCCTTTCCTTCTAGATGTGAACTGCACCTGCAAGCCAGGCTATGTGGGAGACGGCTTCTCGTGCAGTGGGAACCTGCTGCAAGTCCTTATGTCCCTCCCCTCGCTCAAGAACTTCCTGACAGTATGTACCCTGTCTGCCTCAGTTCTCATCTATAAAATGGAGGTTCTGATGGCAGCAGCCTCCTGGGATGGCTGTGGTCTTTAAACGAGTTGGCCTTTTGACACTGTAAGCATGTGGAAACTAACGGATTCATCAGTGCAATGCAGGTACTGCCTGCATTTGCATCTAAAATAGTTTAAGAAACTGATCAAACAAAAAATAATAACATGGCTATTTCTTCTCTCACAAGCACATGATATCAGAAGCAAGTGGACACATGTTTATCCTTCCACAGAATCAGTTTATTAACAGTAAATTCACAAGCCATGTCCACTTCATTTACCATGTAATTTACCATGTAGTCATTTATGGTCTTGGTAATATGACCACTGTCAACCACAGATTCTTTTATTCCACCATCAATACTAACTCTTGAGCCATCTACTTTACTTGACACACTAATACACATATATATAGGTGACAGATTGGCTACAAAAGGGTTAAAGAGGCCACAAAGCTCAAAGAGGCCTTATGGAAGGCAGAGGAGTGACTCAGTGCCCAGGCACCCCAAGTGCTTAGATATTGAAAGAACCTGACGACAGAGACTGGAAAACAGCCTGGTGACTGGAAGACAGGCAGGTGAGGCTCAGGGTTGGGCAAGTCTGGCTCAACTGCAACTGAATGGACCTCAGCAAACAACAGGCACTACACTGAGCTGAAGGCCTGGAACAGCCTGGCGTTCTCTGCCCATCAATCATGAGATGCATGCACCGTACCTGATAGCTGAATGACACGTCAGTGAGGACCAGTGTTAGATGTCTCTCCTTCTATGGGTGAGGAGGTAGTGTCTACACCAGGAGGATGTAGCATACATACACAGGCAGCTCGTCTTCACTGGTATGAATGAGTTGTGTATCAGCCTGTGCTGTATCAGCCTGTGCTGTATCAGCCTGTGCT